AGACAGGATCTCACTATGCAATTCAAGCTGGCCTTGAGCTCACTTTGTAGACCAGGCTGGCCTCAAACTTGCAACAGTTCTCCTGCGTCAGCCTCCCAAGTGCTAGGATTACAGGCATGTACCCCCATGCCCGGCTTAAAAATCAAAATATAAAATAAATAATAGTAATTTTTATTTGGGAGTTTGTAGCCTAAAAATGAGGTTTAAAACAGTGAGAAAGGATACAACATATTGGAGAATGAATTTTGATTTTTAAAAAAACACCAGTGAGCTTTACTGCATCCTCAACATTTAAAAGCATGGGAAATGAGGAGTCCAGAAGAGTGGGGAGAAAACCAGATTGGTGTTGTGTCCTAGAACCATGTTAAGAAAAAGTCTTTAGTAGAAGTCATAATTTGTGTCAAATGCAAGAGATTGGTCAGGTCAGTTAAGTTGGATAATTAGTAATTATGTAATAAATATTATGAATCATTTAATTCAGCCATGTAAAGAGCAGCCATGGCATGACAAGTTGCTTTAATGAAATGATTGGCTCTAAAGGTTGGAGTGGATGCCAGAGTAGAGTAAAATTTGAGATGCTGAGTATAGACAATTCTTTAATACAAAGAAGGAGAAAAGGAAAAGTAAATAGTAGACAATGAAGGAGTCAGATAATACAGAACGCTTGACTACTGGTAGGAGTGAACCAGTAAAATGACTGATAACGTGAAAGATGGGAGGGAGAATTTTGGGAACATTCTCCTTAGGAACTGTATTCCAGTGTGAAAATGGCTTTAGCTAAGGAAGTACACATACATTTGGCCCTGTACATCTGGGGGTTCCGTATCTATGGGTTCCACACTTGCAGATTCAACCAACTGTAAATCAAAAATATTTGGAAAATACTTGCATCTCGATGCATATATGCAGATCATTTTCTTGTCATTATTTCCTGCAGTACGGTGTAAAAATTGTATGAGTTGTTGTGAGTAATCTATATATGACTTACAATGTACAGAAGGGTGTGCATAGGTTATATATGAATAGTGTGCTCGTTTATGTAAGGTACATACTCCAAGGTTCAGGAGGGTCCTGAAAGCATTCCCACATAGGTACTGGTTTTGGCACAGGGTATCGATTGTTTCTTCCCATTTTCAGCTGCATTTGTACAGGTGAAGAAATTGATTTAATCAAGGTTGTAGTCAAGGGTACAGATTATTAACAGTGGGATTTTAGCTGGATAACTAGGGAAACAAAAATACCAACAGCTGAGAGACAGAATGTCAGTAGTAGGATCAGAGAGTTGATGGACTGTTGTGTTCTAGGGAACTGAGCTGAAAAGGTAGGAGAGGTGGTCAAAGAATAGGGTATTCAGAATTGAGTTTGTGAAAGAATTGCAATTATTGGTAATACAAGGTCTGGCATTTAACCAAAGAATTAAGTGGCTGTGATTAAGGTAGAAGATTTAAGAAACTAGGTGGACAAGCTACAATAGAATAATCATCCATGAGTGTATTGAAATTACAAAGAGATATGTCAGGATTTGTTTAAAAAAAAAAAA